GGACCACCGTCTCCTTCGTGCAAAATTCTACTTCACAGAGCGGGGAGAAAGGGCTGCAAAGTTCAAAAAGAGAACTCCCAGAATGACCACCAACTGGGAACTCTTTGGTACTATTGCGGCAACATGGGAAGATGCCATTGTTGACAACATTGACGAGGAATACGATCGACTGGTTCAGCACCTCCATGAATGCGCGAGGAATGCCAAGAGAGAGATAGCCACAAAAAGTCGCCTATCTTCGAAAACTCTTGAGCTAATTCGCCAGCGTGGTTTGGCGCATGCCTCAGGCAACCGCAAGCTAACGTCCGAGCTTGCAAAGCAGTGCAGAGATGCGATCAAGGAAGACCTCAAAGAGAGAAGAGCAGAAGTACTGGTAGATGCGGCAGAAGCCGGGAAAAGTATTCGTAACGCCCGCCTGTCCTTCGCCAACTATAAGACCAAGATGACTGCCCTCCGACGTCCTGATGGATCCATCACATCCTCCAGAACGGCAATGGAGAAGATTATCCATGAGTTCTACTCAAATCTCTTCGATAGCCATGTCCACTTGCCGACATACCAAATTCCACAGGATGGGTATGTCGTTCCTAACGTTCTCCCTTCCGAAATCCGACACGCCATTTCGTTGGTAAAGAAGCAAACAGCACCCGGCCCAGACAAGGTCAGACCTGAACACCTGAAGAACCTGCCATCAGTACTCATCAATACACTGGCTTGGCTCTTCACTCGCTACCTGTCTGAATGCAAGGTTCCGTCCCAATGGAAAACCAGCAGGACCGTACTACTGTTCAAGAAGGGAGACATCCATGACATTGGCAACTATCGCCCGATCTGCCTATTGTCTGTCATCTACAAGCTGTTCACTCGAGTCATCCTGAATAGGATTGGCAGAACACTAGATGAAGGACAACCATGCGAGCAAGCAGGGTTCCGCAAAGGATTCAGCACCATCGACCATATCCACACGGTAACCAAGCTCATTGAGGTTTCTCGGGTGTTCAAGATGCCGCTCTGCTTAACGTTCATTGATTTAAAGAAGGCCTTTGATTCTGTTGAGACGGAAGCGGTCATTGAAGCCCTAGCCAATCAGGGCATTCAAGCCCAATACATCAGGATCCTCCATGAGCTGTATTGCGGTTTCACTACCAGGATCTCACCATTCTACAAAGAAGTGATCGTTGATGTCAAGAGAGGGGTGCAGCAGGGTGATACCATTTCACCGAAACTCTTCAGTGCCACCCTTGAGAACATCATGCGACGACTGGAATGGGAAGGAATGGGAGTGAAGATAGATGGTCGGCAACTACACCACCTCCGCTTTGCTGATGACATTGTTTTAATAACACCAAACATCAGCCAAGCGGCACAAATGCTGGCCGACTTTGACCGTGAGTGTGGAAAGGTAGGACTATAGCTGAATCTTACGAAGACAATGTTTATGAGAAACAGCCTTGTTCCTGACGCCCCATTCGCTCTCAATGGAACGACCATCTCCGAATGCAACAGCTATGTGTACCTAGGTCGAGAGGTCAACATGAGAAATGACCTGGCACCTGAGCTGCTCAGGAGGAAGAGAGCGGCTTGGAACGCCTTCAAGAACGTCGAAGAAATAGCTAAGAGGACGAAGAACCTCCGGCTCCGGGCACATCTCTTTGATTCCACTGTTCTTCCTGCATTAACATATGCCTCAGAGACCTGGGCCCTACGCAAACAAGATGAGAACGCCATTCAGGTCTCCCAAAGAAGAATAGAAAGAGCTATGCTTGGAATATCACGTTTCACTCAAATGAGAGAACGAATCCGGAGTTCTGACATCCGTCGACGATCAAGGATCAGGGACGCTGTCTCATATGCCAAGGTGTCGAAAATCAGATGGGCTGGTCACGTAATGAGATTTAAAGACAACCGTTGGACTAGAGCTGTTACTGATTGGATTCCACGGGATGTCAAGAGACCGCGTGGCCGCCCACCTACCAGATGGTCAGACTTCTTTGTCAAGATCATGAACGATCGGTTTGAGGCCCTCCATGTTCCCGGAGCGAAGAGATGCCATTGGGCTACACTAGCACGCGACAGGGACAAATGGAGACGTTACTGGCGCCCGCTCGAGCAAATCGACGACTAACGGGAAGTTAAGTGAAGTGAAGTGATAAAAAGAAGAAGAGAGTACTTTCTTTTAGTTACAAGCAGGAAAAAGCAAAGCAGCATTTCCATGCCTTGTGACTATTCAAGAACTTTGTTTTAATTTGTTGTTCTTGTCTAACACTGATTATTTATGCTCGAAAAGTGCTGTATGGAGTCTGTCTTTTTCCGTATGTAGGTTAACCTCATTCTCTTCTGCTTATTCCTTAGAGGGGTCCATTATTTCATTAGAGGTTGTTGGCTTTTTGTGCTTTTGCCAAATCTCTCTTTAGATGCTCTCATAGTTATACCTACACAGTCTTATCAGATCAAACCGACAAAGGAAAATGTATTAAATCCCATTTCGTCTCCAAACCTCTGTCTCTGTTTTTCGCAAGGGCAGGTCTGAATGTAGCATCATACAGAACTTTCATCCTAGCCTTCACACATTCGTTCCTTCATCAAGCACTTAAGGGCCGTCAGGTTGCCACTAAGATGATGCAGTCACGTGACTCAGGCATATGGCTTAGCTGCAGAACTTCACAAGAAGGTACATAAAATATCCATCCTGCCATCACTATTTCTAGTCCAGAGCAAATCCTACCTATCCCTGGATGACGCCAAGGCTAGCAGTGATTTTGACCTCTATATAAGATAGTTGAAAAACTCAAACATAGTTTAACCATTTAGGGAGAGGGGGAGAAAAAAAAGAACAATAATTCAGTACTTTAGCAAGAAACCCCTTTGACTTGGGCTGAAATAGAGGCGGTGCACAGACGAGTCCTCTCTCACATTTGAGTCTTGGAGAACTTGCTCACATTCTTTCCAGAATGATGAGGAAGGAGTGTTACAGGCCTGAAACACTTATACAAGGTCTGCAGGGAGGCTGGACAAAAGACTGGCTCCTGGGATCTGCTCCTGTCGTTCCACAACGTTCCACAGGAGGGAGACAGAGGGCACTACATGGCTTCTGTTCTGAACAGGGTGAGCACCAGACAGGAGGATGCAGATGAGAAAGGTGACTAAGGGTCACCCGTCTCTCCAGATGATCTGATGTGCTGCCAATAAAGAACCCTTGGCGCAAGCCTTCGAGTCGTGAACAATTTTATAGAGTCGTGAGTTTAATTAATTTATGATGCGGGACAGGTGTAACTTTCAGAGCACATAGATACCCAGTTCGTGACTCATAGCTAAAAGTTCATCACTAATTTCTACCACCTTGTGAACTCAGTGCCTTAATAATCCTTAATCAGTGAGACCTGATATCACTTCCCAGCTCTCTCTGCCCCTGTGGGTCTTTTGCACACGGCTTATCTTTGTGGACATCATGCCTCTCTAAAGAGAGAGAGAAATTCCTTCTTGGTACAAACTTAGATTTCCCTTCAATTTCCGTTTCCAAGTCCATCTGTTGATAGCAAATATACATATGCATTCTATTCTTTGTTAAAACTTTTTTATTGAACCACTGTTAGAACGACCCTTACGAAAAGGAAGCAAAGTTCAAAAATGGTTCTGAAATTGGCAGTTTAAAAAGTATGTGCCAGGAACCCAGAGCAATAATACCGCAGGTAGGGTATTCGTCTTGCACGTGACTGACCCGGATTCAGTACCTGACATTCCATATGATTTCCTGAATCTACCAAGAGCAGTTCCAGAGTGCACAGCAGGAGTGACTCCTGAGAAGCAGGGTGTGGGCCCAAAAAATTAATTTAGTAAAGTAAAGTAAAGGCCCTCCCGTTGATCATCGATTTGCTCGAGCAGGCCCAGTAACGTCTCCATTGGAGACTTTGTTGTTACTGTGTCTGGCATATCGAATACTCTCGGTAGCTTGCCGGGCTCTCCGAGAGGGGCGGAGGAATCGAACTCGGGTCGGCCATGTTGGCTGCATGCAAGGCAGACGCCCTACCCGCTGTGCTATCGCATTTTAAATTTTAATTTAAAAATTAAAAATATGTGCCCAATCATAGAAGTCTACTATATAAGAATCTTGCTGATTTCTACAAAATTTCCTCCCCATGAGCACTGGTGGAGGGATGGGTACTGGGTCATTGTATAACTGAAACCCAAACACAGAATTTTGTAAGTCTACAACTGTACCACATGGTGTTTCACTAATAAAAATAATTAAAAATAAATTTTTTTTAAAAAATTAAAAATAAGTAAATAAATAAATTTCCTCCCCATGACCATTACAGCCTTGGTTTTGCTTTATCTGAGCTATTTTCTTCCTCGGGCTGGAGCGATAGCACAGCGGTAGGGCGTTCGCCTTGCATGCAGCCAACATGGCCGACCCGAGTTCGATTCCTCCGCCCCTCTCGGAGAGCCCGGCAAGCTACCGAGAGTATTCGATATGCCAGACACAGTAACAACAAAGTCTCCAATGGAGACGTTACTGGGCCCGCTCGAGCAAATCGACGATCAACGGGAGGGCCTTTACTTACTTACTTTACTTATTTTCTTCCTCATTGAGGCAACTTGCTCAAATGTCCCCTGGCACCTAGTGTGCTCCTGGCTTGTGTTTTTCTTTTCTTTTCTGTCTGAACTGTCCTTTCCCCTGAATAGCTCCAGTAGACCTCCCAGTTCTAGTTTCCATAGTTATCTTTCCCTTCTCTCATTCCGCCTGCATACCTGTGTGATACTGCATATAGCTGCTGCACAGGTCTCCTCATGTATGCAGTAACTGTGCTGCCTAATGAGGTATGGATGGTCGTGATGCCACCAGGCTCCATTGTGCCTAATAAGGAGGGGATATGCTTTATAAACGGTTGGTGCCTGGGTGGACTAAATTTTTTAAAATTTATTTCTAGCATTTCAAAAAGCAATTTCTTCCCTTCTCTTTGGAATCTCTTATCTGTGTGTCTGCCTCCTTTGTCTGGCAGGTCAAAAAAATTTCAGTCATTTATTGAGAGCTGCTTGGTGAAGAATCACAGTCAGAGGCCAGCCACAGAACAACTGATGAAGCATCCCTTTATCCGAGACCAACCTAATGAGAGGCAGGTCCGTATCCAGCTCAAGGACCACATCGACAGGACAAAGAAGAAACGAGGAGAGAAAGGTTAGCAGAACATTTGTACTTCAACTAGGACTACAAGAGATGGACTGAGTTGGGGGTTCTTGATGTCTTTCAACATCTCTGGGGCTTCCGCATGGGGCTGCATGATTCTGTAATGTGAGGGGCTGCCTCGGAGATTGCAGCCAGTGGGGTTCAATAGGGTGAAACTGCACAATGAACCCTTTGATAAGAGAATAGACTAGTGAGAAAGATTCCCTTTTCCAGGCACTGCATAAGAAGTCATAGGGAATGCAACTCTGAAGTGGTTTAATGGAATAAGTTCGTCTCTAAATTCCAATCATTATTCATGTTTAGAGGACTATAAATTCCCAAACCCTCCAAAATCTAAATTGGCATTTTTCTGTATTGGCAGTCTTTATCATTTCAGTTTCTGTGCCTTGATACTCATTTTTGTTTCATTAAGAAATCCACCCCTCTCGGAGAGCCCGGCAAGGTACTGAGGGTATCTCGCCCTCACGGCCAAACCTGGCAAGCTCCCTGTGATGTATTCAGTATGCCAAACACAGTAACAAGTGTCACAGTGGAAACGTTACTGGGTCCGCTCGAGCAAATTGATGAACAACGGGAGGACAGTGACAGTGACAGTGAGAAATCCAAATGAATTTTCTTGTAGCTATTGTGATATAAAGGAGGTTTCCAGGCTTACTGGGTAGAGCATAGAAGATTAAGTTAATAGATCATTTAATACTTCACTTTATCTTCTGGATTAAGTTTCATATGACTACTGATTATACTAGACCATCTTTTCCTTTCCTTTCTGGAAAGAATCTGAGTTCGAACTTGGGGTCTGGGACCGTACCCCAGCAGTTTGAATAGTCCTTAAAAATCTCTGAATCTCCTGACCATGTGGGAAAACATGTGGTCCAGGACAGATTTTATACAAATTGGAAAGTAGAGAAGGCGAGAAATGAGGAAAGGGGTGAGGAGAAATCTCTCCCTAGCTGGCAGACAGATGTTGGTTGGGAGGAAGCTGGGCTCATAAGAACATGTGGGGATAAGCATGTAGGTTAAGAGAGTCCAAGGCATGGGGAGAGCAAGGGAGGGAGGAAGTCCGGGAGTAAGGAGGGAGAAATGTGGATGCTTTTCCTCCCTTTCATCCTCTTCTGTTTTCATCCCTGTTCTTCAGTCTTAAAAGGACCGGTGGGAGGTGGGAGGTAGCACAGGACAAGGGGTGCGCCCCCTTTTTATTTTCATTCCCTTATTTCCTATCTCTGCGATATGGCTAAGTGGGATCTGGGAACTGGGTGCCAGGGATACTGTGGGCGTCTGAACCAGTGACGTCAGCAAGGACTGCAGAGAGGGAAATTCTCACAGGAGGCTCAGGGGCTGTGGTTCTTCTGCAGCCCACCCAGCTGACTCCCGAAAGATCATCAGCTTAGATTCGGGAGCTGAAGGTCAGGAAACCTAGCCTAAAAGGAGACCCCCAGCAAGGCTTAGAGGATGGAGAGGGAGGAAGTGACAACTTGAACCCAAGAAGAGTGAGGGTAGACTTCAGAAGGAACAGTCAAGGCAAGGTCTGTGAGTCATAAGAATGATTTTCCCAGGACCACAGTATTAGGGTTGGTCTTGGGCTACGCCATGAAGTCAATGTCTTAAAAATATATACTTATCTATGCATACATATGTGCACATACATAATAGGAGTATTAGGACCACACCAAGCAGTGCTCAGGGCTTATTCCTGGCTTTGCACTCAGGGATCACTCCTGGTAGTGCTTGGTTGTCCACATGCTTTGCCAGGGAACAGATTGCATTGTTCACATGCAATCTACCTTAATCTCTGTACTATTTCTCCTGCCCAAGGAAATATTTTAAGATGGTGTGTCAGTCTTGCAATCATTTAAAGCCAACTTTAAATTAAAGGTCACTGTGAGTGTATAGTTGATTAAATTCTCATATTCTTATTTTCAGACTGAAATACTGAGTTCAAATTCCAGCTATATCCGTTTGTAGTTAAATGTACTTCACCCTAGTTTTTCATCTTCAAAATAGAAGTGGTAACCCCATTAAAGTCACTATTGCCTGGCATATTGAAAAGGCAAATTAAGTTCATGATTATAAAATGTTTCATTGCTGACTGGCACAAATACATATGCACTAAATGTTAGATGTTAGTTTTAGACAATACATTACCAACCTCTGATTTCTCAGTATTATTAAGGGTTTCTTTTTGAGAATTCAAGATATCTTTGTCCTTAACCTTTAAAGGAAAAACAGGTAAAGCTTGTGCCTTGAGTTATTTCCACATCTTTGGGGCACAGATTCCTGATTGTGACTCAGAACTCACTCTCATAAACATAGTTTTAATGTGATCATTCTCTATACAGTAAAGGAAAAAAATTCCTAGTAGTAGATATGCTCAAGAATAATAAGGTAATTCAAGGAACCTAATTCTGTTTAGTTTTAAAGCCACCAGAAGCCCTCAATTTTATCCTCTTTTCCAAAATGGATAGAGATTAAAGGAGGTCTCATTCCATTTTCTCAGTTTGGACAAATGATTTAATATGGTCCTTCTGACCCTTTTTTTACTTTCTTAGTCACTCCATCATCGGGTTTGGAAAAATCAATGAATTTTAATATGTATAGCCTTATGATTTTTTACCTGATATTTTTCTCCTAAGATATGTTGACACATGCTAATTTAAGTCAGTAATATAAAAGCAATCAAACCAGACTCTGATGAAGTATTAAAATTGAGGAACCTGACAAATGAAGGTTTTACACTAGAGAGTAGAAGTAATTGGATTAATTGTGTGCTGCTTTGCCTTGCTATAATTTCCTTTAATAGATAAAATTTCTGCATTTTACTTTGAAGTCCCTGTTCATTAATTTCAGGAAACTTTGAAATATTAAGCTTTTAATGTGGAATATTAAAACACTCTAAAAAAATTCTTTTTCTTTCTATTTTGATAATCACTCTCTATCACTGTCCTCCTGCTGTTCATCGATTTGCTCGAGCGGGCCCAGTAACATCTCCATCGTGAGACTTGTTATTACAAGTTATTATTTATGTTTGGCATATCGAATACGTCACGGGGAGCTTGCCAGGCTTTGCTGTGTGGGCGAGATACTCTCAGTAGCTTGCCAGGCTCTCTGAGAGGGGAGAAGGAATCGAACCCAGGTTGGTCGGGTTGGCTACACGCAAGGCAAACGCCCTACCACTATGCTATCACTCCTATAATACTTAAATAAATTGCCCGAACTTGATATACATCTAAATATATGAACAAATAAATAAGCAATTTTTCACAAATACATTTGAAGTCAACACTTTTGTCTTCTTTTCATTATCCCTTCAATAGCAACTAACTACTACAGAATTCAGGCATGTTCACATTTATCATCAAATCTATAGCTACTTTTATGTGATTGCTGCCTCTTGGTGGTAACATACCCAAATTGCCATTTCAGTTTTTTTATTGACTCATAAACATGGTGAAGGTTGTGAGCAAAAGCCCACGGTTATGATGGGGCAACAGTGGTGTGACCTCCTCTCTTGCTTAAAGACTCTTCCTTAAAGTCTCACTACTAGGGGCTGGAGTGGTAGCACAGTGGTAGGGCGTTTGCCTTGCATTCGGCCAACCTGGGTTTGATTCCCAGTGTCCGATATGGTCTCCTGAGCACCGCCAGGTGTAATTCCGGAGTGCAGGACCAGGAGTAACCCCTGTGCACCGCCAGGTGTGACCCCAAAAGCAAAAAAAAAAAGTAAAAATAAAAAAATAAAGTCTCACTAATATCCATGTTGGCCGCATGCAAGGCAAACGCTCTACCACTGTGCTATCCTCCACCCCTCTCGAAGAGCCCGGCAAGCTACCGAGAGTATCTCGCTCGCATGGCAGAGCCTGGCAAGCTACCCGTGATGTATTCGATATGCCAGACACAGTAACAACAAAGTCTCCAATGGAGACGTTACTGGGCCCGCTCGAGCAAATCGCTGATCAACGGGAGGACAGTGACAGTGACAGTGACACTAATATCCAGACAGATCTTCTCAACAGGTCTGTATAGGGAGCAGCACACTGTATCAGATCTGTCACTCATTCTCTGATCGGGTTTTCTCACCCGGACAACTATCTTCTTGTGACTCATTGTTTCCTGAGCATGCCATGTGCTGAAACCTCAGCATAACTCATGTGATTATGTTACTCGGACTCTTCCCTCCATTGTTTCCATCTGCCATTCCCTGGAAGTGGGCACTGACCCTCCCGAGGGTCAGTTCCTCTGTTCCTCTGCTCAGTTCCTCTGCAAAAGTTTGCTATACTCTTTCCCCATTATGACCTGTAGATTTAGCTGCTCCTTTTCCTAATATCTCATTACTTTTTTATGTTCTTCTGTTTAGTATATAATACTTTGAAAAGAACACCAGTATGGAGTTGGAAAAATTCTGGATTGATTCTGAATCCAAATGTCAGATTGACCTTTTATTTAATGAGATGGTATTGGTCATTCTGCTTCATCTCTTATAATCTAAAATCTTTGTTTGAAAAGTGAGTGTTATATAAAATGATTGTTAGGAGGAATAAATGTAAGGCCACAGATAAAATGCAGCTTGGGAGACACCCAGTAAAACCAAACTCATTTTCCTAAACTCTGATTATTTCCTTCTCCACCTTGTCCATTTGATCTCCTCTGGAATAAAAACACACAGTTTTATTCATTATTGCATATGATCTTGCTTAACATATTACTGAATTAAATGAATGTCAACAGAGTGGTCAATCTTTCTTTTATGTATCAAGGTAGTTAAAGTCAGTTTGTGAATCCATATAAGTTCTAATACAACTCCTACTTTTAAAAGGATTAATACTGTCAGTAGTGGACCACTGGAAAAATTGGTTTGAGTGGTCTTATCATGGGAGTTCAAACATATGAAAAAGTTTTATCTTAATTGATTTGTCATTGTGTTTGAGTGAATATGAGACACTAAGGAGAGATAGCTGCAGTCACTTGGGACAGTCTAACTATTTTAGTTATATTTACCTCATGGAATCCAGGTGTGTGAGCAGTGTGTGTGTGTGTGGGGGGGGGGAGGGGGTTGGACACACACAAGGCCTGGACTCTCTCTCAACTCTATGCTAGTGAGAACTCTTTAGCCCTCAGACTACTCATATGCAAAATAAGGGGTTTGGCCTCATCTGAGCTGCAGCATTTTCTTGGCACTAACCTCCTGTGAGTCTCTGCAGATGAGACAGAGTACGAGTACAGCGGCAGTGAGGAGGAAGAGGAGGATAACGACTCGGGAGAGCCCAGGTAGGCAAGAAGACACATCCCCACTTTCCATGTTCTGAATTGTGTGTGTGAAATTCATTCTTCTTTTGATTTATTGATCCATTTCGAAGGCTCTAGCAGGTGGTCCTACATAATTTATTGCCGTAAACACACTCATTAATTTGGGGAAATTTTTTTTGGCACACTCAGGAAAATAATGAAAAAGAAAGTCTTTATCTTGTCCCCCAAGATTTATGGTCTCTATTCAAGAGCCTGTTTCCTCGCCTATATAACATGTAGACCAGGTAGCAGGCAATTAACTGAGGGACACATGACTAAAAGGACCTAAAACTGCAACTGGCTGGAGATCTCAGTGGCGTTTTAGACTTCAGTTATTCACTTTGTGACCTCCTCCCTCCAAAAGCCCAGTCTAGCAGCCATTATCCTTGTCACAAGCCCATTTAGTTTTGCTACAGGAGAATACAAAAGGAACTGATTTTCCAGAAATCAAATTATACTCTAGGGGCTGGAGCAATAGAACAGCGGGCAGGGCATTTGCCTTGCACGCGGCTGACCCAGGTTCGATTCCCAACATCCCATATGGTCCCCCAAGTACTGCCAGGAGTAATTCCTGAGTGCAAAGCCAGGAGTAACCCCTGAGCATCGCCGGTGTGACCCAAAGATATATATATATATATATGTATATATATATATATATATATATATATATATATTAGAGGAAATCTCTAAATAGGAACTCTATGTCCACTCCTGTTGTCACATGCTGGAGGACAGAAGCAAATCCTGCTGTATTCACTCATGGGTTTCGCTTGACTTCCTGCTAGTCTTCATTTTAAACAGTTATTTACAAGAAATCAAGGCCCATGTGCTCACATGGTTTCATGCACACTCATTACTGAGTAGAACTTTCAAACTGAATTATTGCTAAACAACCAGTAGCGGGAATGACTGGGCCTACACAGGGTCCCCCACATACCCCAAGGACTCTCAGGAAGCCGAACTGAAAAAGAATTCTTCCCATCTGGTACTTTGTGTGCCGAACTGCTCCTCTCTTTTGCTACATAAAATAATGACTGTCAACCAGTGACAAAGGAAATGAATATTCTGGGGCCAGAGCAATAGTACAGCTGGTAGGGTGCTTGCCTTGCACTTGGATTCAATCTCCAGCATCCCATCTAGTCCATCAAATACACCAGGAGTAATTTCTGAGTGCAGAACCTGGAGTAATCCCTGAGCACTGCTGAGTGTGGTCCAAAAACAAACAAACAAACAAAAAACAGAAAATTTAAAAAGAAAGAAAATGGACATTATTACAAGGCAAGGGAACAAATACCAATTGAACCCTGCTTTTGCCAAGCTCACCCAGATGGTCATGCCAGCCCTTCTGATTCTCTCCTTAGAGCTGAGTCACCTTGTATTCATAATCATTTGCACGGATGCATGCTAGGTTTCTTTTAGTGAGCTGTCCTAGGCATGCCTCAACACTGCTCTAATTGTGATATGTTGCTGTATCCTAGCAAAGTTCCTGTGCCAAGTCCAGCTTGTACACTCTGCTAATTAATCTTCATGAACTCCAAAGGAAAAAAAAGGGGACTACAGTTATCTCATTTTAGAAATGAGGTGACAGCCCAAGGGTGGCAAACCAGGTCATGCACAGAGTTGCTGATTGAGTCACTCCACAGCACAGGTCACCTGTCGTTGGTTCAGTGCCCCACCCTTGGAGACTGGTTTAGAGTTCAACCCAGAGACTGAGAGCTTTCAATGAGACTAATTAATGTAATCTGACAATCTCTATCAACAGACATCTAAGCAAGGTCTTTCTGGGGTATTTTACTGCTGTATTTCCTGATGAATAATAATAAAATATTAAACTTAATAATAGCATAATAATAATATTAACTTCATTAGCTTAATAATAACTTTTCAAAACAAATAACTGCCACCAAATCCCCTCCCCACACCAGGTATCCACATCACTCTGCCCCAGTGCAAGCATGTGGAAGGCATCCCTCACGAAACAGTCTGTCCATCTGTGAGAGGCCCTTGGGCATAGTCACTGCATCCCCCAGGCTCAGTCCCCTTTGCCCTACCCAGAGCCTATCCAAAGCCCACGGGGCACTGGCTTGCCCTCATGTCCCCTTCAGACTGTCTTCTCTCAAGCTCACCCAGGTGGCCTGCACCACCTCCCATATGGGCTGCCTCCACCCCTCTCCCATTGCTCTATCTTCAGGCGTTTGACACGGGAAGATGACCGTGGCCCTGGTCCTCGCAGGAATCACACTCCTCGTTCCCCACCACATGCCCTGGAATGCCTGAAGGCTCCTCCTGCTCCACCTCCCCAACCAAGGCCGCATCTAAGCCTTGGCTCATCAGTCTGACCTCAGAGAGCTTTCCCCTGGTCAACGAGCCTTACCTCGGCTTATCTATCACTACTTGTATCTCCTTCAGAGACTACTCATGCCTAAAATTATGATCATGATTGTTTCTCAAGTTAGCTGGTGTCTATGTTCCCCATAGAGAGAGCTTATTTAACTGCAGCTATATCCACTCTAATCAAACACAGAGCCTGCTCCACAGGAGATGCCCAATGATTATTTAAAGTAGCATTTCTCAGCCCTTTCTTGTTTCCCTGGTCCAACTGATTCTTCCCCTAGTCTCATGTCATGCCTTCTATTGACATGATCTTCACCTCGGGCTCTCCTTGGAATATCCTGGGAGCTCAGAGGGGGCCCAGGGGACCATAGTTGAGAAACACTGACTTGAAATATTAATGTCAAGTCAACACTGGCAGAAAAATCAAAACAGCTGGATTCATATTAAGGATCTGAGCCATTTTCATGACCCCCACCACGTGGCTGCTAGGCATGACCACGGAGCCTGAAACTTTGTGCTCACACCGTTAGAGGTGAGTGATGTACAACCCCCACCACCCCCAACCACCAGACACATCTGTGGAACTTCTCTGTGGTGTTTTCTGGCATTTTGATTTCTATTTTCCCTGGGTACATGCATGCACCACACACACACACACACACACACACACACACATACACTCACACAAATACACACTTGCACAATCACCATTTTACAACAGAGAAACGGAGGCTTATGGGATGCCTTAAAGGCTTCGAGTCAGTGAGATGAATTAAAGACCTGCATGCACCCTGTATGTCTGTAACCACATGAACTACCTAATCTTTACTGGTGTTGCCGCCAGCGACAACACCAGTGTTCTGGATAGCGACAAAGAGGAGAAAGTCCTGCCTCATGTCATCCAGGGCTGAGGCTCTTTCACCCCCTGGCCCACCCATCCTGGACAGCCTGTCTGGGATTGCATCCTGGGGTCGGTTCCAGGAGTCCGGGAGCTATTCTATGAGAGTAACCCCCTGCTCCAAGTGGTGGAGACCCCTTAGTGTCCTCAAACCTTCGTGTTCATTTGCTGGCTCTGTGCTCGCATCCCTTATCCAGAAAAAGGAGAACATTCTCCGAAATCTTCAAAACAGAGAGTTGCATTGTCTGTGATGTGACCCTGGGACCTTACCAATCCCATCAGGATGCAGCCCGCTGATTTGCAGTGGTCGCTCCGGAAACGACGACGGAGCACTCACTTCTGAGCTTGACTGTCCCTTGGGATGGGGGGGAGAGGGGGACAAGGCATTGAGGCAGGCTCCAGGAGCTTGTGCTCAAGCCTGTAGCTTTGTTCCTCAAGGGCGTCTGAGTTATGTTCCCAGGCCGGTGCCCCCAGGCCCCGGGGAGCCACAGCTCCTCGCTTGGGCCAGGACCTGAACTCTTCTCTGCTGCCCACAGCTCCATCCTGAACCTGCCCGGCGAGTCCACTCTGCGGCGGGACTTCCTGAGGCTGCAGCTGGCCAACAAGGAGCGCTCGGAGGCGCTGCGGAGACAGCAGCTGGAGCAGCAGCAGCGGGAGAACGAGGAGCACAAGAGGCAGCTGCTGGCCGAGCGGCAGAAACGCATCGAGGAGCAGAAGGAGCAGCGCCGGCGGCTGGAGGAGGTAAGGGCGCTCGCAAGACTGGGCCGGGCCGGGTCGTCTTGACCACGGCCACGCGGCCACGAGGCCCTGAACCCAACGCTGCAGGAGAGGAGGTCGAGGCCCTGCTGCCCTAGTGAGCAGAGGCCTCCCGGGCCCGGTGGTGCGAGGTTGGTGCGGCCGCCGGGAAACGCGGGTGCGGGCCAGGCTCCCCAGGCCTGGGTCAGGCTCCTCAGTCGTCGGGCCCCTCGCCCGCGTGGAAATCCACACTTTTCCCCAGCGTGTCCACTGCCCCTCACCCCTCCGAGCCTTTCGTTTCTCTGCTCCTGTCTGTCTCTCCCCGCTGGCCAGGGGGGCCGACCTTTGGTGGAGGGAGTTTGCAAGCCCCGGTCAGGTCAGAGGAGCCAGGAGTCACTTCCACTGATTCCCACCGGACACAGAGCTTGTGGCTATTCCCGAGGATGCTGGGGCAGGCCGTGGTGCTGGGATGACCAGGCCACACCCAGCAGTGCTCAGGGGCCTCAGGGGCCACAGCTAGCAAGGCTCGGGAGGCCATGCAGTTGGGGACAGGGCACTCTGCATGCACCCCAACCCCTGCGCTGTTTGCTGGGCCCTAGAAGGTAGGCGGGATGGCCCTTTCACCCTGGTGTAGCCCAAGTGCCTAGAACAGAACTGGACACAGAGCAATGCCTCAGGTACCTGCAGGCGTGAGGGAAAGAGCAAAACAGTGTGCGCCAATGATGGAGAGGTGGGAACTGGGCTAATAGCCGGAGTAACGAGGGTGGTAAATGGAATATCAGGTATAGAAAATGTGTCATTGGTGCTTCTTTGTCACTCCTTGTACTCTGAGGAAGGCATTATCCGAGCCCTTTTTCCGCTGGCATGTGTGTGTGTGTGTGTGTGTGTGTGTGTGCGCGTGTGCGCGCATACGTGAATGCAGTTTGTGGGGGGTACATGCAGTGTGTGGTGCATGTGTGCGGTTGGGTGTGTGTACGCTCTCCCTCCCAGCTGTGGTTGCGATGCTCTGTGCAAGACGCGGTTCCACAGCCACACTTGGCCTGCATGGCACGTTCCGAGGAGATTCCCACCCTTGTGCACTTAGCTGAACATTACAGCCTCCTTTCCCCAAATGCGCTCAGAGGTCTCCTTCCTCTGTCCGATGCTCAGGCCTCTGGGCAGTCAGGCCGCCAGAAAGCTGGGCTCCTGGAGAAGCTGGTGGCAGGTGAAAGCTCTACTAACTGCCCCAGAGTGAAGGTAATTGTGCAGTTCTCCCCAGCCCTGTCACGCTCTTCCTTGACCACTTACGGCCATTCTCTTGCTTGATTGGGTGGCCACGAAGGGTGGGGCCATGAAACAGATTGCTTTTAAATGGACACATCCAGGTTTAGCCTCCCTGGTTTCAATCAGCGAGGCCTCCATTTCAGGCTGCAGAACATCCCACCAAACGTCTCTGCATGCCTGAAACTCTGACAGCAGGATGATAATACCCAGGGATGCAACTTGCAAATGACTTGTGTGTGCCAGGCAGCAGGTAAACAACTTTGTTTCTATCCAGGTTATCATCATTAACTCTTCATGTTTATCCATGATCTCTCTGGCAACGTGCATACAATACCCATCTGACGGGGGAAACTGAGGGAGGGGAAGTAACCATTTTTCAGTCATGGTTCTGGTAAACACCAAGGCAGAATGCACGTAGGTCTCTCATAGGTCTCTCTGATCCCAATACTCAGGTCAGACCTTCAGTGATAAGAACAGTTCTAAGCAACTTTGAATGATGAACCTCAAAACCGTCTCATGTGAACTCTGCAAGCAGTAATGGGCCAGGAGTGCCTTTCCTGATCTCAGGATACAAGTCTGTTGTCAGCATGAATTCTCAGCACATAGGGACTTGGAAGTTCCCTTCTCTTCTGCTCTCAGGATGGCACCAGAAGCAGACAGACAAAGGCATTGCTGTGCGGTGAGGCAGGTTGAAGGGAATCCTGGTGCCAGGGAGGTTGTTCCAGAAGGAAACCACAAAGCGGAGGTGCCTGCCTCACCTGACCTCAGATTCCTGAGGTCACACAGGGAAGTTGGCAGATATTCCTTGCAACTGTGTCCTGGTTTCATCCCTTTTAGTCCACCCCAGCCAGTGTGACCTTGGTCCTGGTTCCACCAAGGCCTCTGCTATTTGTCTGACAGGCTTGTTCCTCAAAGCTCTGAGTTGATTGCCTGGTGAGCAGCTCTCTGAGGCACTGTCCCCAATCCTGCCCTCCCTGCCTTGTGGTTTACTCCTCCTGAGAGCATTTCCTAAGATCTCTACCTTGACAATGCCTTGTATCCTGGAAATTATCCACCTTTTGCCTGTCCCCTGCCTGGTTAGTGCATTCCTTGCCTAGTGATTGATTATACTTAGTTTCAAACTAGAAACACCACGTAACTCCGTAACTCTAGAAAATCCTCATTGGCAGTCCACAAAGCATCTAAAATACTCAAGGATGTGAACTCAAGATTTCTGAAGAATGTGTATATGTGTCCAGACACACATATACACAGACACACATGTTGTGTGAATGTATTTTCTGTTTATGCTTTTAATGTAAGTTCTTTTCAGGAAATATGTTGTATTATTTAGTTTAGGTAAATTCTTTTTAGATTTCCTGTTTTGATTTCAGTTTTGTATTTTTTTAATTCAAGTAGCTAGAATAGCAGATCTGAAGACATACCATATGACAGGAAGTTTATTCAGCATGTTGTGTAAATTATCTCATAGGATGAGATATAGTGGCCACCAGACTGAAGAAAATGTATTTGAGGGACTTGAGTGTAGGACATTTGCCTTGTATGTGACCAACCTGAGTTTGATTTCAGGAACCCCATACGTGTCCCCTGAGCCAACCAGGACTGATGGCTGAGCACACAGCCAAGAGTAAACTCCGAGCACTGCTGGTTGTTGACAAAAACAAAAGAAAGAAAGAAAGAAAGAAAGAAAGAAAGAAAGAAAGGAGCCACCCAATTTTCAAAAAAATATTAAGATAATGCATTTGTCCATCAACGGGGGGAAAAGGCTCTTCTATTTTTATTCAATGAAGTTTAAATTTCTACCACTTGACTAAATAAAGGACAGCTTGTTTCTCTCTCTGGCAGAGCTGGGGGCTAGGACTCAAGTGTTAGGGCATCTACTCTTGATGTCGGTGGGCCCCACGGGTGACTTATGTGAAGTGGGGAGGAGAAAGACGGTCACTTTCTCCCCACCCGTCTCTGCCACCCGGGACCCAGGGTTACTGGGTTCTTGTCTCTCCTTGCAGAAAGGAATTTCAGAAGTAGACAAGCAGTGAAACAAGTAGATTTTATTTGGAGGATTTTTAGGTGCGGAGGGAGAGAGAGAGAGAGAGAGAGAGAGAGAGAGAGAGAGAGAGAAACATACTCAAGAGAGAACACAGGCTTCTCCAATGGTGGAGAGAGAGAGAGAGCCCCTACACACATCCTAGCATTAGACACAAAAGCATGAAAGTACACATCTCAAGGGGGGAGATGCGGGCGACACATGTGCTTGGGAACCACATGAGCTCAACAACGTGGATGCAAGCAGCTCATGGGCTCGGGCAGCATATGTGCTCCCTTCCTTTGTTCAAGGCGGCCTTTATAGGATTTCTCCAACCTTCCCCCACGTGGGGCTTCTTCCTAGGTAAAAGTCCATTGCTAAGGAGGTTACCAGGGAGGTTGGGAGTGGTGATGGTCTTCTTTGGACTGAATCACTGGAGTTAACCAGATTGAAAGGGAGGTCCAAAAAAGAGGAATTTCATGGGGAGAAGGCCTATATCCTCAGGGTCTGGGATGGTCTTGGATGATCTTATCAGGCCTTTGTTTTCTGTGTCCACAAGGTGGATCATTCCTAGAATTCTTCCTTGAAACTTTGTTTCATTGCAAAGGGCCTTTCCCTATTTACCTGCCTACATCACTCTGATCATGTTTTCAGACTAAACTTGAGCAGAATATTTGTGGTGATGCTTAGCTTTGATCACCATCACAGTCACGGTCCTCCCATTATTCATCAATTTGCTCGAGCAGGCCTAGTAACGTCTCCATCATGAGACTTGTTGTTACTGTGTTTGGCATATCAAGTACGTTACGGGTAGCTTGCTGGGCTCTTCCATGCAGGCAAGATACTCTCAGTAGCTTGCCAGGCTCTCCGAGAGGAGCAGAGGAATTGAACTCGAGTTGGCCATGTTGGCTGCGTGCAAGGCAAATGCCCTACTGCTGTGCTATCACTCCAGCCCTAGCTTTGATCAAAGTGTTTAAATTATATAGGTGACATATATTTTTCTACTTGCCTTCTGTAACCCTAGAGTGCTTCCTAGAACCATCATTTGGGGAAGAGTATCTTTAAATCACAGGAAGGAATAAAATTGATCCATCCAGCGGCAGTCGCTCCATGGGAGTCAACTTTATTCTCCAGAGAATTGTGTTTCAACTGAAAAAAACTCATTGAAGGCCCTTTGAGACAGGATATCGTCAACCAGTTGTAAAGACAGTCAATAAGAAAAATTATTCTTTGGTTCTTTCCCCTGATTTTTTTTTAAAAAAGAGAAATATCATGGGGCTGAAGAGATAGTACATTGGGGACAGGGCTTGAGTGACCTGAACTCAGAGTCCAGAGTAAGCTGTGAGAACAACTGGATGTGGCTGGAACAAAATAAAACAAAACAAAATATTAAAAGGAATATGCACCAGTATCTTACTGGTAAATGATACAGAAGTAACTAAAACATGAAATGAGAGTCTGGTCTCAAAATGTATCCCTCAAGCCTCTGGTTTTGTGTGTCTGGCTAACAAAGGATGTTGGACTCAATTTTTTTAAGGGTCGGGTAGGGAAAAACTGTTTTCCTATTCCTATAGGCTGTCACTTGAAACACTTATTAAATTCTTACCTTGTCTCTGCAATTCTGAAGCTGCACACTGTTATGTCAGCAGGAAAATCTCATGGTCGGTAAGCTCTTGACTATGGTATCAGAAGAATCCCATGACAGAGGTGGAGCTCATGA